CCCGGAAGATTTCCCCCAAATAACTTGAATATTGAGGCGTGAAGCTTTATGCACTATGTCACGATACTTCTCGTTTTTGAAGACAGTGACTGCAACAGACTTCGTCGAAAAATTCGAGTTGAAGCTTTCCTGCAATTACTTGCATTTAAATTGGGGCTTTCATGGAACTATTGGGCCACGAATTTAAGATTAAATATTTTTTAATAAAATTTAATTAATAATATTTTAATAAACACAGTGGGATTTAGAAAATTATCTAGAGAATTCGCAAAAATAAAAAGAAAAAAAAGTTTTATGTATGTGGGACATAAATTTTCTGCCATCGCTGAAACAGCAATTATGGCTAGTTTGGTAAAATATAGTTCTCGCATATTTATGCGAGACAATACATTTGCATTCAAAATTATTCGAAGATTCCACAATCCGGAGATAAATGAGGCGCATTTTAGAAATAGCGATGTTCAAATGCAAGCAGAGATGAATATTGCTTTTGCGCATTTGTGTACACAGAGATCCATTGTTTCTTTGAATTTATGGGGCATTATAATTTTAATCATTTCCATTAATGCGAAAGCGTTTGCATTCTTTGGTTTGCTGGTAAATAACTGGTTAGTCGAGAAAATTAAATAAAATTATTTCAAGTATGTGATAGTGTGGTAAAGGCAATACGGTTGGAGGTTTAAAATAGTTTTGCCTTTTTAAAAACTAGCGGTGATATACTTCCGCATATAATTTTAAAACCGCAGTTAAAAATAAAAGAAAAATCAAAATTAATTCTTCTCGACTGATGGAGTTACAGTAATTCATTGAATTGTATTATAAAAATGTCCATAAAATAAAAGAAAATGGAAAAATAACAAATAAAAGTAAAATTAAAATTGTTTTTTTCATAAAAAAAACATTTTTGTAAAGTAATGGTTGGTAATAATTGATAACGTATTAATAATAACTGCTAAGACAAATTTATAAATTAGTTTAAATTTAATATAAATTGTTTATTTAATAGAAAAAATTTCCTGTAATGGTTGGTAATAATTAATAATGTTATTGTTCTAATGCAGCTGGCAATACAGCTACAGTTAATCTTCATGCTTTAAGTAAGGGCTTCACCGCTGTTACTCATTTAATACTACCCAGGGGGAACGTGTAGCTTGACGATATGCTACGGACGCGAGTAACGTGAATTTTTTCGTGAGTAACGGGAAATCGAACTATACACAAAATTTGGTTACATTTTAATTACAGGTAAAAATGTTGGATTCAAAGTGGGTTTTATTATTTCAGCGGGTTCCTTATTAATAGAATTTATCCAAGTTACTTTACAGCTCAAAACAGAATCGCCAAAGGTCTTAGCCAAAAATATACAACATCCATAAGAATATGTTCATTTTGTTCTAAAAACTTTTTGACAGTCGTCTACGAAAAGAACAGTCTTTAACACTTTTATAGAGACAATTTTAAAACTAATTTTTGATATTTTGCTTATGAAATTTAGTCGAAAATATACTTTTTATTTCTTTTTCATGGTCTACTTTATAACATGAACTTTATTTCGAATAGCAAAATAACTTTTTTTCATGAAAGAATCTTTACCATGGTTCCCTGTATCTGATTTAATCTTAGAATTTGCAACTTTAAAAAATAATCACAATTTCGAAAACTGAGTATCTTTTTTTCCTTGCTTTTATTTCTTCTATTTTATTTTATTGTGTAAGAAATTTTTTGTCAAAAGATTAAAACATTTATTCTGAGATGTGCAATATATATTTTGGAACATTTGAACGTTTTTAGAAAGATAAATTCGCATATGGATAGAAAAAGAACAGGGCAAAAAAAGATTTCAGAATGTAAACACTGTTATTAGATTTCAGAACATCTTAGTTGCCTGCTGAGTTATTTACGAAAACTGGACACTCAATGTAGAACAATAAGAAAGAGACTTACAAAAGCTGGTCTGAAAGATTCTCAGAAAGAAAAGAAAGAGAGGAAAAAAGTCTTGGATTTCTTTGGAAAGCAAAACCTGAAGGCTAAAATAGGATTTAACAAAGTGGTAGATTATATAAAAAGTCTATTTTCTGATAAAAGTTTTAGGCAATCTTTATCTTGTGACTATTTCTTAGATTAACGATGCTTAAAGATTTTATTAACAAATAAATCGATTAAAAAGTATAGTTTTCGTTATCATAAGTATTTGATACAATTAGTACAATTCAATATGTATAGCCCAAAGCATTAATTTCTATCCTAAAATATGAAAAAAAAATTATAATGATGTAGGATTGTTAGTGGTTGTAGTGGTATTATTTGTGAATAGATCAGATGTTGAATAAAAAGTCAAATATACCTGTGGAACCAGGGAAATTTTGAATTTGTAAAACATCCTGTGATGTATCATGCACAATTTTTAAATTTTAAATTTTGGATTTACAATGCAATATGCAATACATCATGGGGTTTAATGCGATGGATTTAGACAACAGAAATTGAAATATGGGAATAACAATTTCCACTGGCGCTCGGTGCCACAGGTTTCGGGTTCGAATCCCGGCGGTGCCATGGATGTTTGTAGTGGTTCGGAATCCACTTTAAGCCGTAGGTCCCGGTCTCCTATGACTGTAAGAGCGTCACGGAGCCAAAGTCAGGCTTCTACCTACGGGTGCTCCATCACAACAGAAGCTGCTTCCTTCCCCTTCAATCATGAGTCCATATGGGCTCGTGGGCTTGGCCAGCCAAGTGGGATAAGAAACAACAACAAAACAACAACACAATTTCCAAATGTTACCCCATCGAATGTTCATGAAAACTTTAGACTCTATATTCAATAAAACCTAAAAAGTCTTTTAAAAACAATCTCTAAAAGAGGCCTGATGGGCAATTGGCTAGCGCTCTGGTATTTAGTACCGCCGGCTTCAGGTTTGAATCCTGGCGGTGGTATAGATGTTTGTTAGTGGTTCGGAATTCACGTTAAACTGTAGGTCCCAGCCTAATTAGCCTAAAATGTGCAAGAAAATGTCATAGAATGACAAACCATACCGAATTCTAAGAAATGTAAAGTGCTATAAATGCTGCATATTATTGCAAACTAGTAATTATCATGGCAAAATAATTAATATTTGTCATAAACTCCAACAGCAATTTCCCCAAATATATAAAAAGTTATATTTTTTGATTGATGAAGAAAACTTTATTGTAAAGTATTTTGAAAAAGCATGAATTATCAAACTAATGAATTATTAAAGGGTACCTCACAAATTTGGCCAAAGATATAATTCTTAATTTAGGACCAAATATTTTATCCAGCGTTGCTTTTAAATTTAATAGTATTTTGCTTTTGTATAATGTTTTTAATCACTTGATTTTAATACGAAATATATTCTATTGGTTACAAAAAAAAAAACATAATTATATGCGAGAGAGATTTTGAATATATTCTTTTACATGAATTTCTTTCCAGGCTTATTTTTCATGTAAACTGATAGTTAGAATGTATCAAGATTTTTAAAATACTGCAATTAATATAATATTGAAAACTACTAACCTTTTTAAATATTATAATAATTTTAAACCTTTTGGATAATTTTTTTTTGTAGTATATCATAGAATTTGTTTATGTCTCTGAATAAAATCAAAATTTCAAAACATCAAAATCAATTTAATGCATTAAGGAAAACAGTTATTCAGTAATTTCCTTTTTGTGAAAAATTCTGGAGTGTACTCATTAAAATTCATTAGAATACCCACAACGTACATCATAATTAAAAGAGTGGAATATGGCTCACTTTAAGAGTTAATTAATTATGCCGAAATTAAAATTAAGAACAGGAGTTCATCTAGACGACGTGATATTTTTAATGAATGTTTAAAAGATTATACATTTATTAAGATAAATTATTTCGCTTTTGCTTCTATAATAATTTTTAATAAATTATAAAACCATTTATATGACGAAGTTTTCTATTATTACCAGTTGATAAGAAAAATTCACTATATTTTTAAAAATATTTTCCAAAACTATTATCGAATTAGAATATATATTGTTTCCTAAAAACTAACGAAAAATCAGACAAATAATGATTAAATAATTTCTATTCGTTGAAATTTAATGACATTTTATAAAATTATTAATCAAACAGAAATTCATATTTTAGATACAGAAGGAAAACAAAATACATATTTTTTTCTTTTGCAAGCACTCAGTATGAAAATACATACAAAAAAGAAAAGTCGTGTTTCCGGAAGATATTAAGATGATGCATTTAAATTATGGCAATTCATGTTAAATAAAACAACAATCGATAGATGCAATCCTATTACTCTTAAAACATTTGTCAAATTATTTTTTCAAAAATATAAATATGTAAAAGAACATGAAATAATAATCTTTTTTTAACGAAAAAAATACACGAAGGGATAAACAGATGAACCTCGCTGGCAAATGTTCCTAAAAAAGATATATTCAGATTAAAAATTAATATTCGCTTATTTTTTTTTGTAGAGATTCAAGAATAAGTTACAAAAAGGGATATATTATAAAAAAATAAGATATGCTTGCTTTCTGGGAGTAAATTTATACTTCCTCATGAAAAAGGAAAGACATGTTTTCAGAAGACATTAAAATAAGATATTTAAATCACAGAAATTTATGTTAAACAAAACAAAAGTTAATAAATTTAATCTTGCTACTCTTAAAGCATTTGTCAAATTATATTTTTAAAAAAATATAAATAAGTGAAAGAATATGAAAAATTCATCTTTATTAAGCAAAACAAATGCATGTTAAAGATAAATAGATGAGCCTCGCTGGCAAATTTTCTGAAAAAATTAATGTTCTCTAATTTTTTTGTAGAGATATAAGGAATTTAGCGTTGTGATATTCAACAATAACTTGCAACCTAAACTTGGAATATTACTTTCTCATGAAAAAGAAAAGACTTGCTATCAGAAGACATTAAAATAATACATTTCGATCATTGAAATTCATGTTAAGCAAAACAAAAGCCAACGGCCGTACCATGCTGAATATACCGGTTCTCGTTAGATCACCGAAGTCAAGCATCATTGGGCGCGGTCAGTACTTGGGTGGAACACCGCGTGTCGTTGGCACTCACAAATTTGGGACCTGAATGGCCGAGTGTCTAGCGCTCTGGCGCTCGGTGCCACAGGTTTCGGGTTCGAATCCCGGCGGTGCCATGGATGTTTGTAGTGGTTCGGAATCCACTTTAAGCCGTAGGTCCCGGTCTCCTATGACTGTAAGAGCGTCACGGAGCAAAAGTCAGGCTTCTACCTACGGGTGCTCCATCACAACAGAAGCTGCTTCCTTCCCCTTCAATCATGAGTCCATATGGGCTCGTGGGGTTGGCCAGCCAAGTGGGATAAGGAACAACAACAACAACAAAACAAAAGTCAACATAATATTAAACAAAGCAAGAACATGTTAAGCATAAATGGATGACAAGCTTTGCTGAAAAATGTATCCACATGATTTTTTGAATATTATAAAAAAAATAAAATACGTTTCCTTTTTGGGAATAAATTTACACTTCCTCGTGAAAAAGAAAAGAAGCGTTCTCAGAAGACATTAAAATAAAATATCTAAATCACAGCAATACATGTTAAGCAAAACAACAATCAATCGATTTAATCTTACTCATCTTATTACAGCATTTGTAAAATTATATTTTCAAAAATATAAATAAGCGAAACAATATGAAATATTAATCTGTCTTAAATAAAGAAAAATCATATTAAGGATGAATAGATGATGAGCCTTGCTGACAAATTTATCAGCACAATTTTAAAATAAGGAGAAATCATATAAAAACCGAATAAATAATTCTAAGCGACTATATTAATTCCCGTTTAAATAAAGCCCTCCATCGCAATTTCAGTTATACGAAAACGTCACCCAAAACTAGCTCGAGAAATGACACGAAGGTGAAAAAAAAACTCTCAATTAATTACAAAAGTTTCAGCCATCTCTTGATAAAGCGAAACGAAAGTGTTTTAATAAAGAAGGAAGAATAAAAAAAAATAAAGCAATATAAAGAGACGTTTCTGACATCTTTATTGCCTCCATTTTACTGAGCACTCTTTAAGCAAGTGAGTAAGCTATTCAATTTCATTTGTAAACTTCAACTCTTCCACGCATTTCTGCGTATTAGTTCTTGCTTAAATCCTCGGAGAACCCAAGTTAATTACAGCCAACTGGCATTCTTACTTTTCCCTGGAAATATCCCATGAATCATCATTTCAGACAAGGTTGATCGGATTGAAATATTAACCCAGTTTAGCACAAATGGTTACCACTAGCAAGGTTTCGGGTTGGGATCGATATTACTACACTAAACAGACTACCTGGACGGGAAACGTTTCTGTTTTATTACAGGTAGGTTATATAATTGCTGGTTATCTGGAATGGAAAGGGAGGAAAATAAATAACGTTTTAGTGCGGAAAGGTGTTTTTAGTTACCTCTGTGGTTGTAATGATATAAATTTAGCTTTTAAACGTATTTAAGTCAAGGACTTTTAATTTGGGGAAGTGTGTCAAAATTTCAGCGTTGTTTATTTACCGCGAATTTGGCCTGAAATTTAATAATTCTGGATATATATCATATGTATAACAATGTGTTGAATGTGAAATTTAAATATTTTCTTGACTTAATAGCCGATTAGTCGTAAAGACGCAAAACTGTTTCATTAATTGCAAAAGGTCTTCTAGTGTTGTATTCTTTTTTAATGGATAAAATAATTTCAAAGCAGTTGCCTCTTCTTGCCGTGAACTACATCGTTGACAACAGTGACACTTTAATATTAAAACAAACATTATAAAACTGACTGCTCAAATATATGCTATAGTACAAATATTAATTTTCTCTTTGTTAATTATAGTTCTTGGGTGTTTAAATGGAGAAATATAAATAAAAAAAAGAACAAATCCTTACCAGAAAATTACAGATGCATCAGCATTAATTAATAATGAAAGTTAATTTAATCTATATTAAACTTTTAAACATATCTTTTGTTATATTTTTCAAGAACTATTTTTTGCCTTTTTTATCCAAAATGTATAGTAATAAACTTCTTAAAAACTATCCACATAAAATTAGTCCATAAACATATTTTTAATTTCTGATGAATTAATAATTGAACAGAATTGAATAATATTTCTTGAATTGAATTATTTTATTACACAATTCTGTCATTATCTATCTTTTTAGAATATAAATGCATTAATAAGGATTATACGTTTTTATTATGAAATAACGATGTGAATTCCTTTAATATACGCATCATACAGGGGAATGAGATAGAGAAACAGCAAAATGATTCACTTGATTTTATAGCAGATAGATTTATTAAATAGTACAAATAATGATTGAATTAAATTGAAAAGAATGTACAGAATTATAAAAAGAAAAACAATTGTTGGAAATTAATTTTATAAATGTTAGATAAATTTAAAACTGCATAATTGTTTTTTCATAAATGTAATTTATTGTAAATTTTTAAGACACTTATTTCTCCTGTAAGACATTTAAACGAGACATTAATAGATACCTCGAAAGAACCATTTTTTTTGTCCGGATGTTTTGTATTTGAGTGGATCTCCATGTACAAATTTAAACAAGGAATAGTTGTAATACCATTTGTTGATGGTAGGGTATTGACTTTTGAAAAGATTTCCAGTCATAACTGCTTCATAATGTGCGGCATTATGTCCAAACCGTTTTTCACTCTGATATGCCTTGACGAAACTTTTCATTTTATCTCTCATTCCTTTCTCATCAATTTTCTAAATTAAAAAAAAGAAAGTTTATTTTTATTGTTCTGGAGTTGGCTAACAAATTACTCAAACGACTCAAATTGATGGCACTTACATACTTTCATTTTTGAATTTATATTTTACTACATTTCAATAACAGCATAACATAATAGTAACTTCCAATCAGATAAGCTAATGATGAAAGTTCATGACAAATGTTCATCTTGATAGGCAAGTTTTCAAACATAATCTATAAGAATATCAATGCGATCCTTGATGGAGGAGATTTCAAATCATGTCCAAATGACAGAATTTCAACTTAAGAGAAATACAAGCATATTTCGACATTTGTTCTTAAAATGTTCTTAAGATGACAAAGTGTTAAAGGACGGTACTTAATTGGCCCCCAATTGATCCAGTTGATGATGACCAGTTTTTTAAAAGCTTAATTTTATTTTCTATAAAACATTGCGAAAATATGATAAAAAAGGGAATATCGAGTCATAAAGGAAGCTCATGTTCGTCAAGTGCTCAGTAAATCAACTTTTAACCAAGATATTTTACAGTATTTTCCCCCCAAAAAGCCCATATTACAATAAATCTAATAAATTTCAATATAAATAATTATCAAGAATGTCAGTCAACGAATAAATAAGCAAGTATATTTAATTATCAAGAATGCCAGAAAGAAATTTATTAACAATTTCATTCGACCAATCCGCAAAACAAAAGACAATTTCATATGAGACATTTAACAGATATTTCCGTTGTAAAATGTGTAGACAAATTTTTAAAACTTTGATAAAAATATTTTTTTTTTCTTTTACTTTTATTTTTACTTTGTTAAAACAAATAATTTTTATATACATACATATTTTTTTTTTACCCTTTTTGTCATCAATCACTCTTTTTTTACAGGGATTCTCGACATACTTATCGCATCATTTCTAGGAGTATGTATTCGGTTTTATGCTAATCACGATATTTGCATTTTAAGCGGTTTCTATTATCAGTTCGCTAAAATACGCATTTACAACTCCCGCTTCGCACTTTATCATGTCGGTTTTTTCTGGGATTTGGTTGAATAAAATTTCTTTTTCAACACCCTTTTAATCATTATATTTTGAATGCATAATTTTTTTCCAATCTTACAAGTAGTGGATTAGTTTAAAATGCTTCATTTGTTTCAGCTTAATAAAAATGTATATTTATTAGAGAAAAAAAATCAGCAATTCTTGCGGTTATAAGTTTTTTAAATATAAAATATTTTTTCCATAAGGTCACACACACGAATGCTTTCAACTGTTAGCAATATTCTATTCAGATATTAATATTAACATTAATATGTTTTAAAATCAATCTGAATATGAAGTGCAAAAGTAGTGAAGTTATTCTATTCAACATTTGCTTTGAGCGAATGATGAATAGAAAAAGTAACAATAGGCCCAAGCGATAACATCGCCAAAAGCGAAGTATAAATGCGGTGTCAGTTGTGAGGTATCAAACGATAATTGATAGATTTATTGATATAAGTGAGAAACGTTTTTATATACCTAAAAAGATTCGATGTGAATAAGTAAGCAAGAAACTCTATGGCATATTCTCCCTTCATAAATATAATATTTGAAATAAAAGTAATATTTAAAAAAAAGATTCGGGATATCTGATGGTAGAAAATATGTTATTTTTTAAATTATAACTAAATAAAAACCGTAAGTTATTGTTATTTTTAGCTAAGTGGCAGATAAAAAAAAATCAAAGAAAATAATTGGATTTCTAATCCTGATAGTTTTTGTTTCATAAATGCAAACAGGTAAATTCCTTGTTTGTATTTTATAAATAAATATTAAATAAAAATAGAGATAAGATAATCCCCATCCCCCAAAAAAAATTAAGTGCTGCAAAATATGTTCTTCAAGGACATTGAAATCGCAGATATATTTGTGACTAACCATCAGTGTCCTGCAGTGCGGGATGGACAACTTATGAGTAATCTACTCATGGATGGAGGGAAAGGAGGCAGCTTCTGTTGCGATGGAGCACCCGTAGGTAGAAGTCTGACTTGGCTCCGTGAAGCTCTTTACAGTCAAATGAGACCGGGACCTATGGATTAAAATGGATTCCGAACCATTACAAACATCCATGGCACCGCCGGGACTCGAATTCGAAACCCTGTGGCACCGAGCGCAATGCACTCGGCCATTCAGGCCCGAAATCGCAAATATTGCTTAGCATTGTGTACAATTTTCTCCTTTAAAAATGGAATTTTAATTAATTAAATGTATATATTATAAAACATCCTTTGTTTATAGATAATAGATCTTCATTACGG